ATCATCCTCTACTCAGTTTCTCAGGTTAAAATCCAAGAAGTTGTCTTCAAACACCCACATTCCACCCACATGTCTCACAGGTGATTCCTCCAAAACATATCCCGAATTTGACCATTTCTCACCACCACCTCTCCTACCACTGTAACCCTGGCCACCAGCATGTCTTCCCTGGATGACTGCAGGGGCCTCCGAACTGGTCTCGCTTCTTTCACTTTTGCCCCCTTGAACCCCTTTTGTGCATAGCAGAATCATATTTTAAAACATAAATCAAATAATATCATTCACCTGCTCAAAACACTCCGCTGGCTTCCAAATGGTTTACCATAGGGATCCCTGGGTGGCGCAGCGGTTTAGCACCTGCCTTTGGCCCAGGGCGCGATCCTGGAGACCTGGGATCAAATCCCATATCGGGCTCCCGGTGTATGGAGCCTGCTTCTCCTTCTGCCTATGTCTCTGCCTCCCTCTCTCTCTCTCTGTAACTATCATAAGTAAATAAATAAAAATTTAAAAAAAATGAAAAAAAAAAAAAAACAAATGGTTTACCATAGTCTACAAGGCCCTACATAATCTCGTTCTTGCCTTCCTCTTCAACCTTCAATGGCTATACTACAGCTCAGGGGTGTCTTTCTGTCCTTCATACAAACTACACTTATTTTTGTCTTAGAGCCTTGATATGCCTCATCTCATCTTGTCTTGGTTCAGATGTTACCTCCTCAGAGGGACCTTTGAGCTGCCTATATAAATTAATTCTGTCCCCAATGACTCTTCAGCACATCATTCTTTTGTGTGTGTGTGTGTGTGTGTGTTACTTATTTCTGAGGTTATCCTATTTCATTATTTATACATGTATTATTGGTCCATGTTTCAGTCTCATCCACCAACCTCCAGTGGCAAGAACAATACTTGACACATGATAAATGCCCACTCAATTTTATGGATGAATGAATGAATGCCCTTGCTCCAGAAGCACTTCTCTCTCTTTTCTTCCCCTACCCTTGCTCCAATCAAAATGCCCTCTCCTTCAGAGCATGGATTTCATTCGGAAAGTGATAGGGAGGTCTCCACAAATATTTGCTGAATGAATGAAGCTAAGATGAATTATACCAACAAAGAATGTCAGCCTCTTGATGCTTAGCTATTCCCAGAAGCATCAGCATTCTCAAACTGGAAGCTTGAATTTCAGGCATTGTTGACAAAGGGAAGAATTTCAGGCCAGCCAAGTTGAAGTGATATATTTGGATAGAATTGCTGTTCCAGGGCTTCTTAAACCCATGATTATTTATTAAGACCCTTTATTATTTTTTAAAGATTTTATTTATTTATTCATGAGAGACACAGAGAGGCAGAGACACAGGCAGAGGGAGAAGCAGGTTCCATGCAGGGAGCCCGATGTGGGACTCGATCTGGGCACTCCAGGATCACTCCCTGGGCCGAAGGCAGGCGCTAAACCGCTGAGCTACCCAGGCATCCCTATTAAGACCCTTTCCTTTAAAGCTCCTTTGAAACCACAGTTGACATTAAATGTAAAACAGTGATTGAGAAGCACTGTTTGTGTCTAAGGAAAAAATTGTGGACCAGGAATCAGGAGGCTGGGTTTCAATGCCCAGTGTGCCTCTAATTAGTTCCTTGGACAAGTTGCTAAAGATTATTAACACTTACTGAGTATCTAACATGTGCCTGACCCTGAGCTAGGCACTTCCTTCACAGATACCATTTTTGCAACTCCTCAACGTGGATATATTTAGTATTTCTTTTATAGGCTGGGAGAGAGGTTCAGAGAAGTCAGGTATCATATATGAGGGCACTCCCTAATAAACAGTGGAGCCTGGACTCAGACCCAAGATTGTAGCAGCCCGCGCTCCCATTGCTTCCCCTGTACACTGATAAGGCACCTCACACCTTCTCGCATGAATTTGTAAACTGGGGGGGGCAGGGGAAGAAACTCTTGGGCTTTAAGGAATTGCTTTCTGAAATCCCTTTCATGTGAGCTCTTCACTGTAGTCTTATTTTTGGATGAAAACAGGAAGAAGAGAAAACAAGTCTGGCCATAAGAACTCATTTAGGGGGGAGCCCTGGGTGGCTCAGCGGTTTAGCACCTGCCTTCCGCCCAGGGTGTGATCCTGGAGTCCTGGGATCGAGTCCTGCATTGGGCTCCCTGTGAGAAGTCTGCTTCTCCCTCTACCTATGTCTCTGTCTCTCTCTCTGTCTCTCTGTCTCTCATGAATAAATAAATAAATCTTTGAAAAAAAAAAAAAGAACTCATTTGGGAATGTAACTTAGTAGTTAGAGTGAAGGTTTGGGAGTTAAGATCCTAAGTTAACATCTAGATTTTGCCACCTTACCTTAGGTATCCACAACATAGGTAATCAGAGCACCTGCCTCCTAGGTCATGATGAGATGCAACCGAGATGATGTTGGTAGAGTGTGAGGCCCAGGGGGCCCAGGTCAGGGAGCACTTCCTTGACTATCAAATATTTGCTAGCTTAATAATGATTATTATGAACATTATAAAAGAAAGTATGGTAAAGGCAGCCAAAGGGGAAGGACATAGGTGAAGAGGTAGGTGCTTCTCAGTGCACAGGAGAGCCAGATTACTGCTAGCCAATCTTGAGAAGAGGCTCCCAGAGCCACATCAGCCAAGTAGATGCCCAGTGAGGGCTCTGTTGAAGCTGAGGGAGCTCCCAGCAGCCGCAGCAGCAGCAGGAGAGAGCTCCTGAAAGGCAGGAAGCCCAGAGGCCGCAGGAAACATTAGCTGGAAAGTGTGTTTGAAAGGCTGAACCTGGTGTAAGATTGGAGCAGGAGAGCCCCACAAAGAGTTCAGAGTAACTCACTGCTCCATAGTTATTTCTGACATCTGTACTATTTCTCTGATTACCAAAGTAATATACTGGTACTTTACAGAGCTTTATATAATGCAAATAGCAAAAGAGTCCCCTATCCAGGTTGTGAAAAGTCTTTTTATTGCAGTTTAATATGTACAGAGAAATGCACAAAACATTTTCAGTGAATTTTCTCAAAGTGAATACTTCCTGGTAGCCAGCACCCAGATTGTGGAACAATGTTAATCAAGTGGCCAGAAGTCACCCTGTCTTGCCCCTTTCCAATCACTGCTGATCCCAACAGGAATTTCTTTTACTGTAGATTAGTATTACCTGTTTTAAAATTTTATTTTTATTGTTTTTAAAAATATTTTATTTATTTTAGAGGAAGAGCATGCACGAGTGAGGGAGTGGGGGGAGGGGCGGAGGGAGAGGGAGAGAATCTCAAGCAGATTTTGTGGGCAGCACAGACCAAGGCAGGACTTGATCCCATAACCCCTGAGATCATGATCTGAGTTGAAATCAAGAGTTGGATGCTTAGCCGACTGAGCCACCCAGGTGCCCCCTGTTTTAATATCTTAAATGAATAGAATCACATAGAATGTACCCTTTTGTGTCTGGCTTTTTTCACTCAGCATTATGTTGTAAGATCAATCCATATTGCTATCTAGTATTTCATCACGTAAGATATACCACAATTTGTTTGATATTTCATTTCATTGTCAAATATTGATGGCTTTAGGGGTAGTTTTCCAGTTTTTAATTTTTGTAAGCTGCTTTTAAGCTATTGTAAACTATTTTTAATTATTTTATGTTAAGATCACTCTTGTATATGTCTTTTGGTAAATATATGTACTCAATTCTCTTGTATATACCCCTAGGAATGAATTTGCTGGGTTATAGGATGTGTATATATTCAGCTCCAGTCTAGTCTCCAAAGTTTTAAAACATACTCAGATATAAGATCTCTGTGTGGGTTCCTGGAGAAATTTGAGAGTATCACAGTTCTCTAAGAGAAAAGGATGAGGAGGGAGCAGTCCAGTAGCACTTGTCCAATGACCTCCCAATGGATCTCTCTGCCTCCAATCTACCCAGGACACCATGGCCAGATGACCTACCCCTAATTTCACATTTATCCCGTCATCTCCACCCATCCTCCCCAACAGCTCTTTAAACCCAACCACACTTCCAGGGCAGCATTGGATCACATACCTGCCCACTTGCCAGCCTTTGACTAGATTTTAGTCATTTCTTATTTTCATTCATCCATATTGACAAATATTGGAAGCCTATGATTAGTGCAATGTACATATCCCTACCTTCATAAAGCTAGCATTCTAGTAGGAAGAGATAGACAATCAACAAATAAGAAAATGGGGACGCCTGGGTGGCTCAGCGATTGAGCATCTGCCTTTGGCTCAAGGTGTGATCCTGGGGTCCTGGGATCGAGTCCCACATCAGGGTCCCTGCAGGGAGCCTGCTTCTCCCTCTGCCTGTGTCTCTGCCTCTCTCTGTGTGTCTCTCATTAATAAATAAATAAAATCTTAAAAACAACAAAAACAAAAAGAATGTTAGTCGTGATTAGGGCTCTGGTGGAAAAGAAAGCAATGTAAGGAGAATAAGAAGCTACTGTCAAATAGGTTGGTCAGGGAAAGCCTGCAGGGCAGATAGTAATGCATTCAGCATTATTCTAAAGGTAGGAGTGAAAGGGTTTGCTGATAGATTGGTTGTGGAGCATGAGAGGGAAGTCAAAGATGCCTTGTTTCCACCAGAGGCAATGCCTCATTGTGGATACAGCACAGGACCAGGCCCGGAGCCCAGAGTCTATTGACTAAATGAGTGGACATCTTTCCTGGTTATAGTCAGTCAAACTTCCAATGTGAAAGGTTTATTTTCTATTGTCTCAGAAATAGTATAAGTATAAAGACAAATAATTGCAGTCAGACTGCCACTCCCAGCTCCGTCACTTACCAACTGTGTTTCTTCAGGCAAGTTACATAATATCTCTGAGCCTCAGTTTTCTCTTCAGGAAAAATGGGATGATGACAGTACCTCTATCACACTGTTGTCAGGGATACCAAGATAGAGTACATAAAAAAGCCTGGCCTAGAGCCTAATATTGATTCAGGGCTTAGGAAATACCTATGTTAAACCAGTTCCCAGATAAAACAGAAAGAAGTCTATGGAGTATGGGTTATCTTTATTTGAATTGCAAAATATAAATATGAACCAGGTTTGGAAATACAGGTTGTAACAGTTCAGAAATGGCACCAGCAACTTCCAGAAGGGACCATGACAGCATACCTTTTTAGTTTAAGTGAGGTGGATGGGTTTACACAGAAGCCCCCCGACCCCAAACTCTGTAGAAATCGGTAGGTTATCAATTAACAAGAACAGGCAGCTCCAATGTTTCCTGCTCCTCCTCAGCCTTCTTCTTTGCTGATACCTTCTGTAGATCCTCCTCTGCTGCACTGACCCCTGCATGGAGTAGCACCAGAAGAATGGCAGGAGTAAGAAAAAATGTCTTGACATGAGAAAAAAGGAGTTCCCACTCTGTGGGCCTGGGGCCATAGGGGTGGAGGAGCCAGGAAAGCTGCAGGCATGGAAGTCCAACCTCTTAGGAGATTTGGCAGGGAGAGGACACAAGGAAACACCAATATCTGTTACACTTTGACATCAGCACCTTGGGCTTTTGAAACATAAACGGTAGACAAAATCGCCTAGGCAAGACTGCAGTCCAGCTCATAGAGTGGATCTGACAAAGTTAACTCCTATATCCTGACCGTACTGACCTCCCCCTGTGGCACCATGACTGTGGAAGATCTTCAGAAATGTGCACAGATAACAAATGACTACAGATGGGTCACAGAACCATCTCAAAGTTATGGCAGAGGAGAACAATGCTGAGCCAGATGGTGGGCATGCCAGGTGGAGGGCCAGGACACTGCCAAAGTAACAGACTAGGCACTTGAAATATTATTGTTAGATTGTTAAAAACTAAATAAATTAACATACATAGAATAAAATAAATATATAATTTAAGAGGCATTTTACAAACAAACAAACAAACAAACAAACAAAAAATAGTTGTTATTTTTCCATCTGGGTAGAAGTCCCAAAATTCAGAGTTCTCAGGCTTGTGGTATTTCACAGTTAGCTCATCAAATCCAGCGCTTGAGGATCCAAACAGCAGATCCCTTGGTGGCTACTTGAGTATATGGCTTCTCAATCTTTGTTACTTTCTTTCAATCCACAAATCTTTAATTCTTCTTCTCCTTTTTTTTATCTGTCAAAGATCCTGGAGCATATGGAATTTAACTGGCATCTTAATCCAGAAGTTAATTATTTAAACAAACTTATGGGGGTAGGTGGGGTTTGGTGGAAGGAAATCAGAAGGGCATGAAGGTCTCTCCCTTTCGCTTTCTTCTGACCAAGATTCCATTTTGACATATTCTGTTTGGCACTTGAAGGCTCTGGTATTTTGGCAAAGCAATTATGAAGGGCCAATCTAGATAGCAACTGGGAAAGAAGGAATCTTCCTGACTAGCTGTGACGTCCTTTCCCTCTGCGGAGTCTACGATCAGCTGTGTCTTCTCGGAGGTAGCAGTCCCCCTGCAGATTCCTAAAGCACAAGAGGAAGGCATTTAAAGCTGGATCCAGCAGCAGCTGGGTGGCTCAGTCGGTTAAGCATCTGCCTTCGGCTCAGGTCATGATTTTGGACTTCCAGGATTGAGCCTCAAATCAGGCTCCCTGCTCAGTGGGGAGTCTGTTTCTCCCTCTGCCTCTCACCCCACTCATACTCTCTCTTTCTCTCAAATAAATAAACAAAGCTGGATTTGGTCTTAAGAGTTTCCCAGGTCCAGTCTTATGAAGTAGGAAGATCACCTGGGGCAGAAGAAGGGACAAGGATAGGAGAAAGTATTGTCTCAGGCATCTCTCTTGGGTATTTCTCTAGGAACTGTCACCCCAAGTGAGAAAACCAACTGAAAACCTTTTTGAAAACCATTCTGCGGGATCCCTGGGTGGCGCAGCGGTTTGGCGCCTGCCTTTGGCCCAGGGCACGATCCTGGAGACCCGGGATCGAATCCCACGTTGGGCTCCCGATGCACGGAGCCTGCTTCTCCCTCTGCCTGTGTCTCTGCCTCTCTGTCTCTGTGACTATCATAAATTAAAATAAAAATAAGTAAATAAAAAAAAGAAAACCATTCTGCAATGGGACCCTAACTCCACAGTAGCCTGCCCCCCAACTCCTAGGTCGAGAGAAGAATTCAGAATACCTTGAAACAGATCTAGAGAAGATGGTGACGGTGCCATGGGGCAAAGGATGGACCATTACCTTGAGTACAGGTCTCTCTCAGTGGGAAGTAGTCATGCCTAACTTCACTTTCTCTTCACTTTCCACATCATAACCTCCTCTCCTATGGTACCTGAAGGAGACAAGTTTTGTGAGCAAGCTCTGCCTGCTATGACAGGGTGCAGGTCCCAGAAGGTAGTGGTCCTTCAAAAGGCCATTGCCATGGTGGTTCCCTCCATTACCTGGAAATGCCAAGAGGCTATGGCAGCCCAACAGATCTCTGGTCAGAGGCCCAACTGCCCCAAGGAATGCCTGTCTCTAACAGCAGGCTATAATTTGTTAAGAACTTTGACCTCATCTACACGATCCTCATAATATCCTTATGAGGTAGGTAGAGATTACAATCATCATGAGATTTTAACCCTCAGAAAGACAGGTAACTTGGTCCAGGTCTCCCAACAGATGAATTGTACAGCTTGAAAATGGGCATCGAGCACTTGGTAGGTCTCCCTCAACCTAGAATACAACCTGGACTGGAAGCATGGCCTGAGGTTGAAATGCCTCAGAATTGAAAGGATATACCAATAGCCATATACCACCATGCTTTGTCTATCAAACCACACACTAATGCCATCAGAGAACAGAGCAAAGGGAAGGAACCATATGAAGAGAGACCCATGGGTGGGTTACTAGACTTGCTGTGAAAAGCAGGACCTGCTATGACCTGGCAATTTTTGCCCTGGGCTCTGGACACTGGACTCACATTTCACCCAAGAAGCTAGGTGCCTAGAGAAGCTAGGTTCCTCAGGTATGTCAGTCAGGTTCCTAGCCTGGAATTTGGGAGGTTGAAGGGCTCATGTGTTCACAGGCAGAAAACCCAGCAGGAGGAATGGAAGTTATTTGCAGAAACAGCCTGCAGGGGGCCCCAATACTCACCTAAACATGAGAAGCCCCACGATGACAAGCAGACAGACAGATGACAGCACCACAGCCACCACAGCCAAGATGGTTGTATGGTCATAAGTATATAAGCGATTTTCTACTGGAAGGCTCAGCCCATGGCACCTCTCTCCATGGTAACCAGGGTGGCAGCTGGTTCAAGACAGAAAAAAGCAGAGATGAGGTTAGTGGTTTGGTCTCTCTCTCTCTGTAGGCAATGACCCTCCTACCTAAGCCAGATCCCAGTCCTCACAGCCTCAGCCTATCAATCCCTGGTCTTGATCCCTGCCCTTTCTCTTTCCTTCTAGTAGGAATCTAGGAGAAGACTCTTGAAAAACCCCTCTGAAGGTTCTGTGGCTTTCCTCCCTGCATTCCTAGGCCCCCTCTCCATTCCCTCTGGTTATCTGGCTCAAGATTACTGCTCCAGGCAGGGAAAAAGTGAGGAAGGACTTCAAGGTCCAAGCTACATATGTTCCATGTGTGGATGATTTATTACATGTGTATTAAGACAGTCTGTTTAAGCCCCTCAGAGGTGTAGGCCTATGTACTAGTGGGTTGAGTCGAGGGGACTATCACTCCTTCTAGTGAGTCCCCTTAACTCTGACCCAGAAATAAAGCCAGCCTTCTCCACCACTGCTTCCAGCACTCAGTGCCTCTCAGCCACAGCCCATCCTATTAATAGGTCTTGTTCTTTTGCCAGGAGTCATTTTTCTCAAGTTCCCTTCATTGAACTCCCAGCTCCCTCTGGGTACAGGGCCCAACTTGAGAGCTTCACATTGACTTTTGGCCTCTGAACCCTGGGCTATCTGACCTCCTACATCATAGGACAAAGTTAACAAACCAAGGTAACTTCTTGCCCAGCTGTCTAGCCAGAGCATGGAAAAAAATTAAAAACCTTTTGGGTTTTCACACTCAAGAAATAAATCAGATGGCAAATGCCTGTTCTAACCAAAGCATTTCCTTGAAGCTCTTAGGAAGACTTGGAAGCGCTTTCAGTTGAACAAGTACATTCACGTCCCTTCCTTTATCCAAGCACTGGAAAGGCCCTTTGATGTAGGTGGAACCCCATGTTACAGAAAGGCAGAGCTGTCTTCCCCATGGTCACTTGGCAGAGCAGAGGTGTGGTCTTGGTTTGTTTGACCCTGAGCTCCGTGTGTCCCATCACACTCACAACTGCATTGGTTCCATCTGCCTGGGGACTCTAGGCCATTGCCTCACTGAATAGTTGGCTACTGGCCCTCTATTTTAAGTTGGCCCTCCTCTGAGAAGCAGGTCGTACATGTGATGCCTCAGAGCAAGGAATCCCTTCTTCCTACTGAGAGGCACCCCAGAAGCAGACCTATCCAAACCTGGCAGCAGTGGGGGGGGGGGCAGGCTGCCCCTGTGGAGTGCTGGGCACCTCTCTCTGGCTCAGCTCCTCCTGGGTGCTTTGGGAAACCACCTCACTGCAGGATAAATGTGTGTCAGCCCCATATACACACAGCAGGGTACCCAGCTCCTTGCCCAGCCTCTCTATGCATCTGTCCCGTTGGCCAAGGCGGGGCAAACAACAACCTCCATGCTGACAGGATACAGAGGAAGCTCTCAGGAGTGCCCTTGGAAAATTGCTCATGCACAGCAGTTTATAGAGCACACTACTTATCTGCTAGCCCAACTGAGACTCATAACATCTGGTAGGCAGGTACAGCCCCATTTTACAGACTGAAAGACTAAGAGTAAGGGTTAAAGGGATTGTGATTTGCCAAAAGTAGCACAACTAAGAGGCAACAAAACTAAGACTAGAAACCAGTCTTAGCAGATTCCAAATTCATGATTCTTCTCACTCTGAACAGTGCAAATTACCCCAAGGAAACACATATCTCATGAGGTGATAGCTTCCTGGGGCTGTCTGACCCTGCTCTTTGACTTATTATTATATTATTATTATTAACTTGGATAATAAATAGCAAACATTAAAGGCTTACTGGGAGCCAAGTACTCTATGCTAATTGCTTTACAAGAATCATGTGGTTTAATCTCAAAAACATCCCTGTGAAGTAGGAGTTACTATCCCCATTTTAAAGAGGGAGAGAGGGGATCCCTGGGTGGCTCAGCGGTTTAGCGCCTGCCTTTGGCCCAGGGCGCGATCCTGGAGTCCCAGGATCGAGTCCCACGTCGGGCTCCCTGTGTGGAGCCTGCTTCTCCCTCTTCCTGTGTCTCTGCCTCTCTCTCTATGTCTATCATGAATGAATAAATAAATAAAATCTTTAAAAAAAAAAAAAGGGAGAGGGAGAGATTGAGGTTTAAGTTCCTAGCTAATTTGCCCAAGGTTATACAGCCAGTGAGAGATAGAGCCAGGATTTAGCCCAACAGTCTAGATGATTTCAGAGACTATGCTCCCCTGGGGGGGTGGGGAAGGGAAGCTGAGGCTGTTTTTCACTTCCAGCCATCACTCAAACCCCACAGGTAGTTACTCAGATGATAGAAATAAAGTTTGGTCTCAGAGTCCCGCAATTCAGTTACATAATCCCTCCACCCCCATCCTGAGTCAAAAGGATAATAATGTAAACATCCTAATATTACCCACCTCCCTCTCCCTTTGCAAATGACTCCTGGCTTTTCCAGGGAGTGGGGGAGCAGATGAGTATGTTCCAAGCATGGGGGGGGGTGCCGAGGGGGGGCAAGATCATGTGTCTTGCTCAAAGCCAGCAATCCACCAACTGGAACATGTTCCTCCTACTGATGGTTGTGACCCATTTCAGAACTTGTATTACAATAGCAGTAAGAAACCTCTAGGGTCCAGAGACATTTTCCAAACCAGGTTTCTCCGCCCCTACACCATGTCTTGCTGCTATTTCTAGCCAGGTGGTCTTGAGCAAATTACTTTTACCTTTCTAAGCTTTGGTTTACTCATTTGAAACACAGGAATAATAAACACCTACCTCTCCAGAGTATTTTGAAGATCGAATGAGATACTACACTTAAACAGCACTTAACAAAAGGCCAAGTCCGACATATGTGTGAGTTATTACAAAATTAGACTCCACAGGGTACTGCCCTGAGGAATGGGGCTCCAAGGTCAGGTGGAGCCAAAGAGAAGGGGGCTTGACATTCCTTCTCAGCATCTGGCCAATGAGGCCAAGGGAAGGCTCCATGCCTGTCTCCCTCCCAGCTGATTCTCCTCAGCCTGACTGCCTCCAGGCTTCCTCCGGCCACAGGAAACTTTGCAGCCAGCTTCTGGGTCAGCAGCCAGTCAGGAGCCCCAGGAAACTGCTCTTTGAGGGCAACTTTTGGCTGGTGACACAAAAGCGTTTTCCTGTGTACGGTGGCTGTGGAGGAATAGTTTAGGAAGCCAGCTAGCCTCAAGCTCCTCAGGGCAGCCTGGATGCACCCTGGCTGGTGGTTCCTGAGTCTAGAGGGAAAGAGGAGCAACAAAAAGCCCCAAATGTAGGTGACCAAATATCACATTTCCCCAAACTGGGAGCTCTGTGTCTTCTTGCTACATTCTGCCCTGAGCTCCAAAGGCTGGAGGCAGGGGGAGCCAAAGCAGACACACAATCCAGTCCCTAGAAAATCTGTCTAGGAAGCAGAGACAAAGTCTTCAAATCAGACTGCCATGCTCTTAGGCTAGTGAAAGCCTTCAGAGACCTCTAACCTAACAGCTGTCCTCTATAAAATCCTATTCAAACTCTGGAAGGATAGACAGGGAAGAAGGACACAAGCCAATACCTGGTCCTGCCTGGGGGCATGAAAAGCATGCTGGACTGAAAGTCAGGCACCTGAATCCTTGTCCTGTTTCCATCCATTTATTTAGCTGTTGATCTCAGGCAAATCACTTCCAACTTCCTGGCTCTAGTGTCCTCATCTTTCAACTAGAGATAGCAAGCCCTGTCAACCACCCTGGAACTTTTGATAATTCCTGGACAGGACTATAATTCCCCATTCCCTAGAATAGTTGGCACCAAGTGGGTACTCCACACATACTGGCTCGGTTCAGCTCATATTAAATGTTAATTGTGAGGCTATGGGGGGCAAAGGAGAGGAGGCACCACCTTTGTTCCAGGCACCCTCATCTACTGGCTTTAGCTGACAGTCAAGATCTGCTCTCCAGGATAGCAGCCTTACAAAGGTTCTCAGCTAAGCAGTGGAAGTCCATCCACCAAAGCCCTGGACCAGTTTGGACCAGACAGGCTCCTGGTCTCAACCCATCTTGACTGCCTTCAGAGTCACTACCTCCATCCTGTGCTAATGATGGCATTTTACAAATTTAAGACAACCATTTCCTACCCTATCTCCAAGACCTTGGGAAGAATAATATGGGAACTGTCTATGTTACTTTAAAGCAACTCCCTCTAATTCCAAGCTCCTGAAAAGGATGTTATAGGGGAGGACACACAAGTGATCATGAACATGGTGGAGAGTAACGGGTCTGCCTGCCAGCTGCCAAATACAGGGCAGCTTTGCTATGTAAGATCAGACAGGACAAGGAAACTTTAAAAAGCCAAGGGATCTGGACTAATCACAGAAGCAGAGATGCCAGGCAGCCAGCCTTTTTTGACAGGTTGAGATGTGGTGTGCACCTAATAATCTCCTGGTCCTGTCCAGAGTCTCCCAGGTCACAAAGCCTGTCTCTCCATAGGGACCTTGTGCCCAGAGGAAGAGAGTGGATGTTTGTAGTCGAATGTGGGTGTTGGCCTCGGGTACAGTGGCCACATTATGCCTGCCAGATAGCAGGACAGTGCTGTCATCCCTGAGGGGTGCCAAGGCAGCCATTTGCTGGGCTTGGCCTGGCAGAGAAGCTGGGGAACCCATGGACCCTCCACCCAGGAAAAGGGTGGTGCTGCCTGACCAGGGGCTGATGTCTACTGGGTTGGGTTCCATTTCCTGTTAATCTTGCACAAAGGAAGTGTTCTCCCAATTCCATGGCCAAAGGGCAATTCCCATTATGTCCCCCAGGTCTTGGCCCTTGCTGGGATGAGGAAGAAGAGGGGAAAGGGCCTCTCCCTGCTCCTGCGATGATTGCTTTCTGTATAGTCCTGCCATGCCTTCAAATCAACCCACGTGTGCTCACTCATGTGGGCACACATACATCCAAGCACACACATCTGCACAGCGTGGGTCCAAATGCACCTCCCACCTGTCTGCAGGGCTTGGGAAGGGAGGCCATAGGAGCTCCACTCCACCCAGCAAGCCTACATGGGTCCTACTGGCTTCTCCCACGTGGAATAGGGCATGAAGTAGGAATGAATGAAGGACCTGGCTGCAGGCATCAGCTCTCTTGGCCACATGTCATGCCTGAGCAAGCAGGAAATGTCCCTAAGGATGAAAGAGCGTCACAAATCTACACCACAGGAAATTACAAACCCATGCAGGGGAGAGCCCCTTCCGCTGACTAAAAATATTTCCCCTCCTCCCAGCTTCCGCCTAAAGATTGAGAAGCAACTGGGTAGAATTATGAATTCAAGGAACAGTGACAACGAGGAACAGCCACGTGACTGACAGCTCAGGGAAAGGACACTTACATGCAGGATGGAGCCCGGAGCTCCTTCACATATTTGCATTCTCCATGGATGCAGAAGTCCTTGTATTTCCGAAGACACGGGTCTCTCTTCCTCCCTAAGCCTTTGCCTTTCTTCTTTTTTTTCCCACGTTCCTCCTTACTGGGTGTGGCCAGAGCCTGTGGCTTGGAGGAGAAAGCAGCTGCTAGGGGGGAAAAGGACCCTGTTAGGCCTTTAACTCTCCTGGGGGAAAGACTCAGAACAGCACCATGTCTAGAAGGAGTACAGGCTCTTTAATCTCACCTGTAGTCAGAGGCCTTGGGAAGCCCCTTGGCTCAGTGCCTCCCAGGAGCTAAAGGAAGACTGAGCAGGACCACCAGAAGGCAGGGGAGGAAGCAGAGGCTACAGGGGTCCCAAGGAAGGCATTTCTCAGACTTAGTTCAAGAACTTCATTCGAACAATGCTAGCTTCTGTTGAGTTCACTGCCGCTGACAGGGCAGTTCTACTAACCTCACTCCCACCCCACTGTCCATCCCCATCTACTCCCCCACGCCCACTTGGTGCTATTTTGGCCTTAAATCAGCATCATTTCCTGATGCTGCACTCACTGACCCACTTGCAGGAAGACAGTGTCAGAGATAAAAATTGTTTCTGGAGAAGGTACTTGGAGGGTTTTTTTCTTTCTTTGGTGGTGGTGGGGGAGGCTCCTAAAATAACAACAGTGTCCATGTCCAGATGGCCCCCTCTGAAGCACCCACTAGCACCAGGGTACCATGAGCCCAGGCCAGAGCCAGGCTTGGGAACCACAAGCAGGCCATCCCTGGTCATGGCCTTGCTTTTTTTACCTCAAGCAGAGTATTTACCCTGCTCTATGTCCTTTGCAGCTTACCACTCCTCTCAAAAGTCTATTACATTTATCCCCAAATGTCCTGTTTATAGCTCTCTAGGATGGATGAGTATAATGTGTACAAGGGGGAGAAAGATGGAAAGTAAGGAATTACCTGGAAGGAACTGGAACAAGGATGACTCCCCCCCACACACACACAATTCTTTTCACATTTTCCAGCTGGGACTGACCATGGGCTACACCCAGCAGCCCATCAGGTGTCTGACACCAGTCCCCTTTCCCCTGCTCCCAGAAGAAAAAAAGTGCCCACTGTCCATGGCTGTAGCCTTGTGTCTGGTGCAAGGGTTAGCACCAAACATTAGACTGGAGACGCAGGATCCTCGAGCAGGGAGTGACTTGAAAGAATATCATGGCTTTCCATTTTCTGATAAAAAACTTGAGGTCTCTTAAAATTAAAAAAAAATGTTTTTTAATTTAAAAAAATAAAAAAAAACTTGAGGTCTCGAAAGGCAGTGATTTGGTGAAGGTCATGCAGAATTGAGATCAGAAATGTGGTCTCTGGATTCCATATCCAGTGCTCTTTCTCAATATACCAAACTGCTCACACACCCCTGTCCCTTCCCCTGTACAAGTCTAGAACATCCCGGATATTGAACCAGGAAGGAGACAATGAATGGACTCTGAAGTCAACAGACCTGTGCTCCCGCTTCAGCGCCATGAACTTGGGCAAGTGACTTAATCTCTCTGAACCTTGGGGTGCTCAGTAAGTAGTGGCTAGCAGTGCAATTTCAGAGGGTTGCTACAGGATTAATTAACCCACAATAGCATAATGACTGCCTAGAACACAGCAGGTACTTAATAAACAGTAATAGTTATTCATTTTAGATGATAGGATCCCCAGACATGAAAATCAGTTTTCACCCAGCAAAGCCAAGAGAAGGGAAGAAAGGCAGGTGCCAGTAGTCCCACAGACCCCAGTTTCCTCTGGTATAGACCCAAGCCTCTTCAGCGCTCAGAAGGTGAAGCAGATGCTCAAGAGTGACCAGAGCTGTGGTGAAATTGTGGCAGAAGGGGCAAGCCAACCAGAGAAGGGAGGAAGAAAGTGACAGGGTGACAGCCAGGCTCCTGCCAGGGACAGGGAGCAGTGAGTCAGGTCAGCAGAGGTATGAGGAGCAGCTGTGTGGGTGGAGGGTGAGTCACAGCCCAGCTCTGCCCAGCCTAGGAGGCGATGGCTAGGAGAATCCAGGTTGTTCCAGCCACGGGCAACCCAAGAGGCTACTAGGAGAGGATGAAGGTTGACAATGCAGGCCCAGCTTGGGAGCAGACCTTTGATTTATACAAAGCAAGACAGCACCTCACCTAAGGGAAGCTCTGGGTAAGGGGTGGCTAAGGGGCAGGCGGGACTAGAACAGGTGGGTATCTTTCCAACCCAATACAGTCATTCTGGTGCTTCAGGGCCCAGTCCCTGCTCACCCTCAAGAATCACTTCAGGTGGCTGGGGGCAGGCAAGTGGGCAACGCTGAAGGCTCTGTACTCTGCCCTGTGCCTGTACTCAACTACAGCCACATCTGCTGGAGTATCCCACGTGGCCCTTTTTCCCTTGGAATGTCTCTCAGGGACTCAGGGTGGTCAGGAAGTCTCCAGGCTTTGGGTAGGATTTGTAGACACGTAGCATTTCATTATGTCTCCCTAGGGACCCAGTGCCCATCATTCACAGCCTCCCAAGGAGGTGCTGGCCTCACCTGGGAGACCAAGATCTCCTCATTCCCCTCCGTTTCTCCAGCCTGGAGACAGGTGGACGGAGAAGACTGCACACCTACTACATTCCTAGGCTCTCCACATCTGTCATTTTATACACAATGGTCATTTGATAGAGGAATTAAGACTTGCACCGATTTTTACATAGGAACTTTACAGAAAACATCCCAACCATTCCTTGTTCCTTACTCCAGCTTACCCAGAAGTGTACAAGACCACGGACACCCTGCCTGCTCACTTTGCCCTAAACTACCCAGAAGGGGAGCATCTGGACATGTGAGACTCAACAGCAAGAAAGCGCGATCCACATTTCAGGTTCCCCTAGCAAGCTTGTCGGGTTTAGCAGGTTTTCCTTGAAGTCCGCCATGAACACTCCCAACTCACAAGTGTGCCCAAACAGCGTGAACCCTGGATCCACTTATTCTTCAAGTGCCCACCGGGGTCAAGGATGAGGAGCCTTCATACCCACCTCTTAAAAGGTCCAGGTCCGTCTCTTCTAAGTCCAGGACTTCCCTGGCCCGGCCGCCTTCCGGGGGCAGCAGCCGGTCCGTGGATTCGGTGGGAGAGTCCGGGTTGCCAGTTCCGGCCGCCAGCCCTCTCCGAAGACGCCCCAAGCTCTCGCCAGTCACCGACGCCGAGAGCACTGCAGGGGGGTGGGGGCGAGGCCGCGCATCAGACCCCTCTGCACCCCCGGGTCGCCGCGCGCACCGAAGCCGGCAGCCGTCTGCCGGGGAGCGCGGGCCCCACCAAGTGGCCCGCGGTGGAGTCGCTGCTGCGCCCTTGCCCCCGGGCCCCCGGCACAGTGGCCCCAACCCCCGCCCCCCACCTCCGGGGGCGTCGGCAGCCCTCTCACCTGCAGCCAGAAAGAGCTTCAGCACCACTGACCGCAGCAGCTTCATGGTCCCGGACCCGGCGGAGGCGGCGAGGCGGCAGTCACTTTGGAGGAGGCGACTGCGGGGCGCTGGCACGCGAGCCGGGCCGGGCGGAGCTCAGGGGATTCGGCCGGGCTGCGTCTGCCGCCGGCCTCTGGGTGCAAGCCTAGCCGGGACCTGCGCCGAGCCGGCGGCCGCTGGGTGTCTGTCTGCTCGCTCGGTCCGTCCGCCCACCCGGGCCCCCTGCGTCTCGGTCAGGCCGGCCAGCTGCTCGCCGCCCGCAGATCCCTCGGTGACTGAACGCTCCCGGCGCGCGGCGGGGAATAAGGCTCCTGGAGGCGCCGAGGCTCCGCCCCGCCCCCTCCCCGCCCCTCCCCTCCCCCTCCCCCTCCCCCGCCTCCGCTCCCTCCCCCGGCCTCCCGCGCTGGGCCGCTCGCCCGGCTCCGGGCGCCCCTAACTCCGCGGGCGCGGCGAGGGAAGGGGGCGGGAGTAGGGGATGGCGCTCACATAATTTGGGACCCGGCCGGCCGGGGTAGCCACCGTCTAACTGTGGGAAGGGCTGCCGACCGGCAGGTGGCGGGGACCGGTTCCAACCTTTCCGCAAACGCCGGGTGCGCTGCAGCCTCGCGAACGCTGAGCTGAACCCTGCCCTTGGACACCCCTCGTTCCTTCCCCTACTCCAGGCCTGGTCCCTCCAGCCATCCCTGCTCCAATCCAGGGATCTGCAACCATGTCACCTGCTGAAAGTAACATTCTCCGCTTTGCCTAGCTACACAGCAAATAGTAAATAATGAGTTCGTTTATCATTTAAAAATTAGGTGAAAAAAAATTAGATACACGAATGCCAGCAGGTCTCATGAGCCCGAAGTAACCAGAACTGCAGTTGCAGGCACTTGGTATCAATCCAGCAAAAGCAAAGGAAGTATTCTTCCAGCTGCTGGAGTGGCTTCCCTCCATCTTTCTCCCAGAGGACATAGTCTTCATTAAGATTTTTGAACTGTGGATTTTAATTCCCAGGCTTCTGGGATCTGAAGGACAATGGTTGTGCAACAAGTCTCATACTATTCCTTGTCTTGGAGCACCACTTTCTTTTCCAACATAAAAACTGAGACCCTCTCCCAGGGAACCCAGCTGGCTAGCATAGGTTGCTATGTTCAACAGGTGCCAGGAGATTGATGTATTTCTTCTCCAACCTAGTATTTTTACAGGGATCTTCTGCTGTCAATGTCCTAACCCAAAGAAATGACTCCCAGTAGATATTTCAGCTCCCAGGGACGTGCCGGGGAAGGAGTTGTATGACACAGGGCTGGGTTGGCATTCAGAGTCCTCAAATTGTGCCAGATAGAGCTGCTTGCCTGATTCAGCCCATGTGTAGAGATAAAAACAGGCTTCCTATTTATACACAGGCTATCCTACTGTTTCTATCCATCCCCACTTTTGTAGGGTCTGCCCTCTTGACTTGCCCCTAGCAACACTTCCCATGCCTGGGTTTCCATAGTACACTGAAATCACTACATATGTAAGTTGGAATCTGGACCATAATTACTACTTACTGAGTGACCTTGAACAAAGTATTTCATTTCACTGAGCCTCAGTTTCCAAATCTCTCAAATGGAGGTAACAATAATAAGACTTTGTAGAGAGCTTTTTGAGGATTGAATGAGGGAACTCATATAAGAAAGCACTTAGTACAGTGCCAAGCATATTATAAGTTCTCAATAAATGTAAGCTATTATCTTATTATTACTAAGCATTCTACTTTGACAACTCCATTTCCTTAGAGGCTTTTTTCTTCTCCCTTCCCCCTGGGTCTGAGGCTATATGTTGTGGTTGGACTGGTTTCAGGCGGAAGCTCACCTGTCACCCATTTGGCCAAGTGCCACTGGGGGATTATTCTTTTGGGTGATCACTAGAACCTTAGTGGTTGGTCATCATCCAAGCCACACCTTGGTTCTCCCTCAGCAACCACATGACCACCTCTTTCCCCCAAATAAAACCACTTTGGGATGAGAGCTGTCCTCAGGGGAGGGTGGAGGGAAACACTTCCTGACACACAGCCAAGTCACCCCCTTCCCCTACCTGCCGCCAGGTTCACACCCTGCTCTCTTGTCCCAGCCTGCCTCTTCCTTTGCATGCTCTGTCTTTCTGCCTTCTCACCTCCACATCAGCCTTAGCCCCATTCATGGGGCAACTCCAAGCTTTCATCACACCTAGGAGCCTCACCCCACCTTGGTTTGTGTGTCAACCAGGTTTTATGGGAAGGGCCTGGAAGATGAAGACAAAAGGCCTGGGATGTTTTGGGACAGTCACTTCCCCTCTCAGAACCTGGGGTGTCCTCTGACCAAAGAAAACAAATCACAATTCAGGCTGGAGTAATTTCAGTAGCTTATTTATTCCCCAAACATCCAATGAATGCCTTTCAGCCTTTCACCCAGCAATAAACAAGACCACCAAGAATGCACTTTCATGAAGCTTCCACTCTGCAGAGAGGGAAACAGGCAACATGTTAAGTAAATAAAAACAGCTCCAGGGAAAGTTCAAATACAATGATACACTATAGGGTGATGTGTCCCAGTGCTTGGGATGACACTTTAGGTTTGGTGACTGATCAGCAGTGTCCTCTCTGAGCATGTGACATCTAAGCTGAAGCCTGAATGAAAAGACAGAAACAGACTTATGGTCATCCATTGCAAAAGCATCCCAAACCATGCAAATAGTTCAAAAACAGAAGTGGAAACAAACTTGGGACATTCAGGGAACAGCAGGAAGGCCAGAAAGGAAGGAGGGATATATAAGATAACGTTGAAGCAAAGGGCTAGTGACAGATGATGGAGGACATTACAAGCCCAGGCAGATGATGGATTTTATTTTCCTATCACTGTGGGCATCAAATGAGATGTTGATGGGAAAGCACAATTATGCAGGATTTTTCATGTACTCCTCCACCTGCTCTCTGGCTGTCAAATACCAGCGACATACTCCTAAGGAAGTAGAGTCCAAACAGGCCACTCCAATTTCTTCAACTGTCTATGGATCTTGAGCAAACTGAGGCTTGAAGACTTCCTGGCCTTCAGCCACCAGTGAGTCACAAAGGGGCAAATCCAGAGCAGAAACCCTGGCATCCTGTTCTTCAGTTCTGTCCTGGGTTCCCTAGCTTCTGGGAACACAGGCTTCATGGGACACTGAGTGTCACTGACTCACTACTAGGCCATACAGACCTTGATTTCAAAGAGGGAGAGGGAGAGGAGCCAGTGGGGAGGAGGTGGGGGAAAGGGGTAATTGTGGTGGGAAAAAAGGGGGAAAGGGAGCTGGAGAGGGAATCAACTTGAATCCTTTCCCCAACGTGGCTGAGATGTCTGTGCCAGTAGATTCGCTCCCCCAAACCGGCTGCGTATCAGCATTACCCGAGAATTCATTAAAGATAAAGAGGTCCAAGCCCGACCTAGTCCTCCTAATTCAAAATCTCCTGGGACGGGGCCCAAGCAGTTATACTTTTGTTAGTAATTATGACATCAGCCAGTGCAGAAGCACTGGTCTGCAGAGTTAACCAGAATAACTTATAGCATCTGAACAAAATCTGAACCTCTGAGGCAGAGGAGCTTTAGGTAATGAAACTTCTGTGCTCAACACCTCACCTGCATTATCTAGCACAATCCACACAATTGCCCTCGGACTAGATATTCCTCCCCATTTTAAAGGACCAAGCTAACACAGGTGAGTAACAGTTCCAGGTCACCCAGTTGGTGAGAATCTAAGCCTCAATTTGAATTCATTTTTTTTTTTAAGATTTTATTTATTTATTCATGAGAGAGGCAGAGACACAGGCAGAGGGAGAAGCAGGCCCCATGCAGGGAGACCAACCCGGTCTCCAGGATCACGCCCTGGACTGCAGGCGGCGCTAAACCGCTAAACCGCTGAGCCACCGGGGCTGCCCCTCAATTTGAATTCTTTCCTTCTTTCCAGGCCTGTGTTCTTAAGCTCAACACTAGCCCTTAACAATCGAATGAGACAATGGCTGCCTTCTCTCTGCTTCTACAGACAGTAACACGGTCAGCTTTACTGAGCCTCAGTGGTCCCCAGTGGTCCTGCAGGGACAGTGATAAGAATCTGCTTCAAGGCTGGAAGGAGGCCTCCGTAGGACAGCAGAACAGCTGGTGAGTGAAATGGGCATACCCTTGAGAGCCAGAAAGCCCAGGGTTCAAATTTTGAATATGCTTTTTTAAAAGATTTTATTTATTTATTCATGAAAGACAGAGAGAGAGAGAGGCAGAGACACAGACAGAGGGAGAAGCAGGCTCTATGCAGGGATTCCAGGACTTCGGGATTATGCCCTGGGCTTGAAGGCAGACACTCAACCACTGAGCCACCCAGGCATTCCTTGAATATGTTATTTTTTAGCTTTCTAACTTAGGACATTTTATTCAACTTCTCTGACCTACAGTTTGCTCATCTGCAAGATGGGAATAATAGTAGTACCTGTTCCTACAGGGTTTTGTGATGGTTCAATCAGATCATGTGCATAAAGCAGAATATGATGCCTGGCACATGGGTAGGTGCTTACTTGGTGACAGTTGCTACTAAGAACAAACACTTCAAAAAAAAAAAATCCACATACACAAAATCCCCAAATGCTCACCTCTTCCTCTCTTTCCTTCCCTTCCTTCAAGTGGTCCTAAGAAGACCCAAAGCTCTGCTGGCTGGGGAGAGGGCACCTCCCTTGAGGCTAGGGTGCCATTAGCCCAGAGTTATCCACACTTAAAAATTGAGAGTTAAGGAGTCATAGTTCCTTGCCCCAGGCTGCCTTCATCCCAGCTCTCTATCCTCAGCTGAGTCAGTGAATCAGGTTGTCTTGGGGGTGCAGCTGATTTGTACTCAGATCTGCCCTTTGGAACTCCTTTGTACCTCCTATGCTGCCTGGGGGCTCCTGGGAGTGGTGTCAGATAATACTTCATGCACACCCAGGGATAAACAGGATTCTCCTGTCTATTGCCTGAGGTCAGGATCCATTTGAATAGGATGAAGACTAGGAATGGATGAGGTGGGAAGGGGGTTTAAGGGAATCAGGAGTCCTCATTTCCAGATGTTGAGGAAAGAATATTTATAATGTGCTTGCTCAGACCTGGATTCCAAGCCATCCTCCTCCATTTCTGGGCCCATTTCTGTGACTTTGAGGGTTAACAGGACTTTACCACTTTGGTCATCCCCTAGCACAGATTCGCTCTGTCATCAGGGAGGGGGCAAGTGATTCCTCACTCATCCATCACACAACCCATCTCACTCTTTAAGCCTTAGGTTCCTCACATGTAAAA